GTTCTTCAAAATGATATCCACTTTTATATATTTTTCAAACAAAAAGAATTGAGCCATTTTTTACCAGTCTATACCATATGGTATTGACTGGTATTGAAATAAAAGCATACTTATGGCAGGGACGGAGCTAGCATGTATAAAGGGGGGCCATGGCCCCCCTAAACTTTTGAAATTAGGCGAAACCTGAATATGGAGCAAAAGAAATTTTGGTAGTCTAGTTGTCAAAGAGGTTCTTTATTTTTGCCATTAACAGAAGGGTGATGGGTTCGAAGGCCTGCTCCAGCACATTATAATCACCTTTTTGCTAATTAATAGCCTTCTGATATCTCTTTCCTCAGTTTCTCATTAATAATTAGCCTTCTCACATTCCCCCCTAAATTTTCACTAATAATTAGCCTTCTCACATTTTTCCCCTAAAATTTCTTATTTGATTTATAGTTAGAATCTTTGAATTCTCTTTTTGTAAGTCAATTTCTTTGAAAATTTATCATATTTTTGTTTACAAATGGTTAAATCTTGACCACTATATTTCACGACTAGATTTAATTTAAAATTTGGAATTATGAGAAGAATTTTGTTTTGGGTTATCAGATTGGTAAGTATAGGAGAATTCGAAAGACATGATTTTTTTAACAAAATTGATTTCATATGTATATATATGATGTACGCTAGTTTTTACTATATATATATATACACAATATTTTTAAAAAATTTCAAATTTTGAACAGGATTTTGTATAAATTTTTCTGAGCGATTTAAATGTAATTTGTATATGATATTACAAGTGTATAAAAAATTTTTTGGCCCCCCCTAATTAAAAATCCTGGCTCCGTCCCTGACTTATGGTTTGAAAAGCGTACCATGGTGGTATGAACAAACCAAGAGTGTAGGATAGTTGAATACATGATAGTAGAAATATATTAACTGTCATTTACGACTTTTAACATTGTGTACCATAAGATACCACCCCGTACCAGGGTGGTATTGTGTGGTATTTTTTGGTCCTATAATTTGTTCACCCAGAAATTTGTAGATCCAATAGATCATGATGAACTCGTCCCTTATGTGCAAACGTTTTCAAAAATGAATTAAAAACGAAGAAAATATCATATGGTATGCAGTTGGTACCGAGAGGCCAGAATTTTTTGTTCTAAAAAAATATTGAAAATTGATCTCATTTTGTAGAGCACGATGAACTCGTTCCACCTGTGCAAAAAAAATTAAAATCCGAGTTAAAACGAAAAAGATATGAGCTGATTAAGAAAGCTAGAAAAAATAAAAATGGTCTTTAATGCTCCATCCTTAAATCTGGATTTTCTAAATGAAGGGTCCATATTTGGTTATTGATGAATGCATAACCATGATTATGCACCCTATCTTGAGCCGTATTTACCGCCTGTTTATGTTGTGTCCATCTGTAACAGATATTTGATTGTTGTGGACGGTAGATAACTTGATAACATGTAGAAGAGTTAAAGAGAAGAGTTGTACCTTCTTACCAAAAGACGAAAGAAGAACAGTGCACAGAAACCCTGAAGAGAACAGCTCTGTGTGTTCCCCCATGATCTCCAAATCTTTGTGTTATATCTCGTTTGTACTTCATCTCTAGCTAGTGGTGAAGAGACAAGGAAGAAAACATGACAAGTTAGCATATTCTTTGTCCTTCATTTACTGACCAACTCCCCCCATTTTATCAGGAACCTGATTCCCTTCCACAACATATCCGCACAATACTACCAAACCATATATATGCCCAAAAAAAAAATCTAGCTACTTATCAGAAAAGGAGGGAAAAGGACAACTTCTTGCTCAAGTTGAGCCTCCATCGGCTTTGATGCCCTAAGACAATATCCCTCTCAACTCTGAGAGCCAGAAAAAAAAAGTAGGCACTCTGAAATTTAAGATACGAGAATTTACAGTTTTCAACTTGAAACTCCAATCCAACTCGTGCATCTTGTGATAGTTCAATCCTACTGGTGTATGTTTATCATCCGAAGGATGAAATTGAGAGTAATGGTGGTACAACACACTGGTCCATTCCAGTATTGGACAATCTCGATCGAATAGATTGGTAGTTAGAATCGGACAATAAGTACATTTAACTAAATTTTATCAGAATATCCATAAAATTTATAAACTTAATCATTGTGTATTTGAGTCTATTTTCCGGAATCATAAGCAGTGGCGGAGACAGAATCTGAAAGTACTTGTATCCTCTTTCCATAATATAAAATAAATAAATAAATATTTAAGCAATATAATTAAAACTAATAATATCTAAATCATTTATTCCTATATATTAAAGAAATACTAGACTAATACAATCATTATTTTCATAACCAATCACAACGCATTTTCAAATTCTCAATGTATGCGACTAAGCAATCATTAGAAAATTGATCGCAATTCGACTTTAAAACTTGTTTTTAATATAGCTCAAAGCTGAAATTGTTCTTTCTACACTTGCAATTGTAATGAGTAGAGTCAAAACTAACTTTAGAAGACAAAGAGATCGACCTTTAGGTACCGTGAATTTTGTTTATAGTGAGATACATTGACTTATGTTAGCTTTTAAACTTGAAATAACTTGTAGTGTAGTGATAAAACACTTTTATATTAACTAAAATTGACGAGTGCAATCCTTAATTGATTCATATATATAGGGTATATTATTTTACTCAAAAATTACCTGTGTCCCGGGACACATCCTATACCCCTAGCTCCGCCTATGATCATAAGAGTGCAATGATGCAAACACATTCAAACAAACTCTGCTTTGCTTCTCCTTATCATTTCGTTATCAGGAATACCAAGGAAAGGCAGAACAAAGCAATGATATCAATTATTTACGAGACTAGCTAGGAGAGATTTGGAAAGGGTAACTAACTAATCAACTAACTAGGGTTCTCTTGAGAATTGGGAAGAGATAACAAAATGGGCATCGAGCCACATGCCTAGTTTAGTTAATTCAGGCAAATTTGGAGCAGTTATGAGAAAAGGATAGTGGGTAGCATGATGCACATTGATCAACATCTCATATATGATATTTTTGGAAGGTAATGGCAACCTTTTTCCCCAAAAGAAATGGGACTTCCATTACTTTGTTTGATTAACAGCATCAACTCATTGTAGAGGCAAATAATACGGTTAATAACTTGGTTTTGTACGAATTATACACAAAGTTTCTAATTTTTGACCCATAGTTTTCGAAATTGCTATCTTGGCCTGAACTATGTATCGTACTTACTAACTTGGCTTGCAACCGGATTTGACCGAGTTGACCGTTAGTCAATGCCAGCTCACTTGCCACGTCAACGAGCACGAAATATTTTTTTTTGAATTTCTATATTTATTTTATTTTCTAATAATACTAATAAACCAAAAATAAAAACCCCACTTGATCCCCTCACTTTTTGAATTTCTGTATTCACTTTAAACCCCAATTTAACCCTTTTTGTTTCTGTATTCATTTTCTTTGAATTACGCCAAATAAATCAATTATTTCCCAACCCCTTCTTCCCAGAAACCCTAATGACTCAGCCTTTTCCTCCTCAGCCACCGTCATTCCCCGATTGCTAATGAAGCAACTTCTCCACTACCACACTTCTGCACTCCGCCTCCCCACGTCGGAGCTACTCAAAATTCGGACAGGAATCCACTTCCCGAATCTCGTCCCCGTCAAGAACCTCGTCCTCACCAAAATCGATGCGAAAGGCCGAGCGGCGGAGAGAGGTGGAAGTGTTTGGAGGAGAGGCGGGGAGGGTTGCCGGCGGCGGAGGAGAGAAGAGGAAGGAGGATGGATTTGGGGTATTTGTTTTTTTATTATTATTATTAAAAAAAGAAAAAGAATTCATAAACAATTTTTTTTTATTCCGTGCTCGCTGACGTGGAAAATGAGCTGGCATTGACTAACGGTCAAACCCGGCTCCGGGCCAAGTTAGGAAGTATGCTACATAGTTGAGGCCAGAATAGCAATTATGGAAACTACGGGCCAAATTAGAAAGTTTGTGTATAGTTCGGGCCAAATTAAGGTATTAACCCTAAATAATATTAAGATCAAAGTCCTGAAGATCAGAAGGTTTGTGGCTGATAAATTCCAAGTTACAGCACAGGGAGCTACATGGCAGAGGAAACCTATGCACAAGTATACATCGGGTCGAAGAGCAGAGTTTCTTTTTCGGATATGAACTCATCTGAAAATGCGTCCCACCATAACGGCAAAACCTATACAGAAGAAGATAGAGAGATCTGTTGAGCCAAGGATTGTTCCCACAGTGAGTGACGGACTCCCGCCGCGAATAAGTCTTCTCAACGTTAACACCGATGCTGGATGAGGTATGTACTGGTTTGGAAATGGTGGTGGTGGTGTTGTTTTGAGGGCAGTTTTGAATACCCAGCTGCCTATAGAGAGGAAGAAATTTGGAACTGTGGCTACAACTGTGGCTGTTCGCGATCGAATCCAAAGGCTTGTCATTCGAGAACATAAATTTTTCTGATATGGCGACAAACTACAACTTAATCCAGGGGCCAACAAAGCCAAGACTGCTAGGGATGGATTCACAATCGTCAACAAGGTAATGCAAATAGGCAGTGTTATTAAAGCCGAGCCGAGCAGCTCGGCCCGAGCGGTAAAACCGCCACCCGTTTATAAAATCGGCTCAGATCAGTTTAAAAGTCGCTTCGGTTTTATGTAGCGGTTGATGAGCGGCTGAGGCGGTTAACCGCTCGAGCCGATCGTCCGGTTATTGCCATTCAGCCGTTAAATTTAATTAAAAAAATTGCAGAAAATTGAAATAAACCAAAAATGTCGGGCTCTCAAACTGAATCCTTATTTCCATTTCACAATTTCGAAGGAAAGAGACGAACTCTGATTAAGAATTCTCCACTATTTGTACTGATAACGTTTATTAGGTACCAGTTCTTTAACTGTTCTTAAACGGTCTAATGCCGGTTGGACCACTAAAGTGCGAGCCGTTCGCATTACCGGGTCATGCTCCGGTTCGATTCTAACAACATTGCAAATAGGTAAAATGAGCAAACAGTAGCTCACACTACGTGCAAAAGATAGAAAGTGGATCAAACTGCCACGAAACCAATCGAGGGATTTGCACATGATAAGGGAGGACGTAAACAAGTGAGTACCAAGTTTCATCCACAAGCAATTAGTCAAATGAAACAGCAACTTTCATATGTCGAATGAAACATCAACCCATCGAAGCAGAATCCACAAAATTGCAACAAAAGAGTATATCATCCCATTACAGACAATTCCGCTCGCTCAACAAGAAAATGATGGTTCTCAAATGGCGACTAAAATCATTGGCGCAGTTCGGCCTTCTTCTTCTGCCACAGCCTGTCCAGGGCACTGTCTCCATCACCCTGAAAAAGGGTCAAGCAGAAGCAAAAGATCAACAATACAATCCAACCAGAGTCCGTTCAAGAGAACCAAAATTACAGCAGAACATACCAAAACTAACTACTACGTCAAGCAAGGCCCAAAATAGGAGTTCAAAGTTTCCAACCGACATAACGAAACGATGAAATATTCAGTAAAGCAGGTCATTCCCACAGAAAATTGCACAATCCGGAGACATTCATTCAATCAGTGGAAAGCAAGGACCACATAAAGTGCTATATTGAGAGTTGCTCATGTCTCAGCTATTTTCTTTCATCAATCAAACCCCAATAATAAAACTCTATGAATTGACTTCAACCAACTGGAATCGGCAATTCCATTGTCACAAATCTTCGTAATTAGCTACTTTCCAAAGTTAGGAACAGTTAACAATACTACCTAGCAGTCTAGCAAGCAAGCATTATGAATGAAGAGCCAGAATACCTGAGCTCGCACGAAGCCACACAGAGCATAAGTGGTGAACTGGCCGGTGTAACGACCGTTGGCATCCAAATGACCAACGTTGACCTGGACGGAGGCGTGATCCTTGGAGGTAATCAGCCTGTTGGTGGCAGAGCTACAAAACAAAGCAAACCATAAACTTAAGCTACTAGTTCTTCCGGAGAAAAAAACCCATGACGAAAAGACTTAAGCTAGGTTGGTTCCATCACTCACCATTTCCTTGGGATGTAGAGATCGATGTCCTGACCTTCTTCGTTCTGCATCTTGGCTGATTGATCGGGAAACTGCCGGGAACAGCAAATTTCAGCTCCAAATTGCCTGATTCGGAGAAAACAACCAGAAATCAGAACGACGGAATTGAATTCCCTATACTGAAATGATAGAAGAAACGATTCAGGATTCACAGCAGACGGAGAGAAGAAGAAGAATCGATGATTACCGTTCGAGAGTCGAGAGAGAAACTGCGGTAGGGTTTTGAGATTAGAGGCAGAAAATTGCTATATATCTCTTCCGCCAGAAAACCCTAAGCCGACAAGTCTTGAACTGATGAATGGGGCTTCCTATTGGGCTTTTCCATACTTGGGCTCATCAAGTTAGTTCAGGCTTTCAGCGCCAGCCAAAAGATATGTGATTATCCATCAACATGCAAAATGCACTTTAATTTCACATTCATAATTATCCACTTTGTAACAACAATGAGAGGTATCACTATTAGCATACTATGAGGCAGCTGTCTTCGTTGCACGTGAAGTCTTCCACGTGTATGACTCCGATGATTCCATGGCTTCAGATGACGAAGACCACAAAACTGGGGCTAATTTACAAGAATATGGAAAGACCAGGAGAAGAAAGGTAAAGACAAGGTGTATGTTGATGGGGAAGATGTAGAACAACTTAAGAAATTCTAAGAAGAGGATTCTGACAATGAAGAGGATGAATGAGAAGAGGCTGTAAATGGTTATGAGACATCACACCACTCCATTTCCCACTAGAATCCACAACCATATCAGCATGTTGGTGGAGAGAGCTCACAACATTCGAGTTACAGATTGTATGAAGACTAGGACCATATGTAAGAGGCAACTTGTCAGAGGAGAAAGGTGGTCACTATTTGATGATGCACCACAATACGGTCCTACATGTGATCACAAGACACTACAATTTGCATGTCGAATGAATTTTGATGATCCATAGTAGTTCAAGGATGTTGTTGTGAGGCACGCTATAGCAGCTGGGGCAAGCACGAGATGGGTAAGGAGCAAATCTACAAGGAAGGTGGTGAAGTGCAAGGATGTTAAATGCAAGTGGAGAATAAGTGCTTCATGGTTAGGAAGGTTGTTTACCACATTCTTGTGCAAGAAGCCTTATAGTTAACCAATTAACTGGCAAGTGAATAACATCAGACATGTTTGAGAGGTTCAAAATTAATCCAAGTGTGCTCCATATCATATTATGGCCGAGGTGAAACTAAAGCACAATATGGTGGTGAAGAAGATGACTTGCTACAGAGCAAAAGTGGTGGCTATTAAGTTGCTAAGTGAGTCATTGGTTGATGAGTACAAGAAACTAATAAATTCTTTTGCTGAGTTGACGAAAAGAGATCGAGAAGGACGTTTCATTTTGGAAGTAGAACTGCATCTAGATGGCGATAAGTGTTTCTTCCGACGATTGTATATTGGCTTCTTAAACTTTAAGGATTGTCTCTTAAAGAGTTGTCGACCTATGTTTTTGGTACTAACGGCTATTTCCTGAAGATGAGGTGAAGTGGATGCTTCTTTCGTGTCTCTTATTCATCCTCATTGATTTCCACCCACCTAAAAAAATTGTAGGTTTTTTATTCCTGCAACTAGATTATCCTCAACCACCTAAAATTTACATCTAATCAATGGGTCATTCAAAATGAGAAATTGCTTACCTTTTAGAAAGTACAACCATAAAATTGCCTGTCTGGGTTTGTCTCAGCCCCATAAGTTCTTACAACATCTGGGACTTTGTGCTTGCAAATGACAACACCTCACTTTTGATACTCATCTAACCCGAATCGGTGCCATAACCATCCACGTTCCTAAAAGCAGCCCTCGGTGACATGAGTCGGCTAGGAGATTGATAATTGTCGAAAACGTATTGATATTATGTGCTTAATGTGATTATTTTATAATATGTTTCAGACATGTAATGCTCGTTTTAAGGCCAACTGACTCTGGAATGGTTATAAGGCCATTACCACCATATGTTAGTATTGTGATATACTTAAAGTGGAAAAGCAAAAGAAAATTGAAGCATATGCATATGGCAAAGAGCACAATCAAAGCAGCAGTGGAAGTAGGGCTGCAAAAGACCCGAGCCAAGCCGAGTTTTACCCCAGCTTGAGCTCGACTCATTTATAAACGAGTCGAGCTCGAGCTAGCTTGTTTACTAAAATCTTGACTTTTATTTGGCACTTCATTTTGTTTATCATGGTACATATGTATTATTTTGTTAGCTAATTTTATATCATTTAGTTAATAATTTTTAACTACTCCATATCATGTTATTTCATAATATCGAAGCAATGTATGATACATAATTTCTTTTTAAATTTTTAAATCAGATATATTTGCTCACGTTCTCAACGTGTTAAACTTTATATATGGTGAGATAGAAAATTTAACAATCATATGAATTAAAATCATAAGATATAGATTGATTCGCCCATAAGTCGGTAGCTCTCTAGCCACATGTTGAGATATATCATGAGCTCTAAACGAGCCAGCTCACGAGTTTAGCTCAACAAGCCAGCGAGTCGAGCTAGCTCGCGAGCTTCACGAGTTGAACAAAGCTTAGCTCATGTTCGGCTCGTTCATTAACGAACCGAGTTTCAAACGAGCTTTTCTCGAGTCGAACGTCGAGCCGCTCGCGAGCAGTTCGGTTCATTTGCAGCCCTAAGTGGAAGCACACTAAAAGGCCATGGTTTCCACGTCATTAATTTCTCCGACCCAAAAGGGGAACCCGAGAAGGAACTAAGGGATGTGGGCTCTTTATCCCATTAGTTGTACGAGAATTGGAGCTGGGAATTAGTGGACCGGCCAGGGGAATTACACGGACCAAGTCCGTTGTCTTTTAGAGGGGAGTTAAGCCTGGGCGGAATTAATTGGAGAGGGAATTGCTTTGGAGAGGGGTTTTTTGGGGGGTCATTCTTGGGATTAAGAGTGCCCAAGTTCTTTGTCCAGGAGCAGAGGATTATTGGGAACAAAACTTCTTGGGAGAACAGCAGCAGTGTAGCGACGAGAGAGGCGAGAGCAGCAGCGCGACTCGGAGACGAAGGATAAGCGCACCGATTGGAGCAGATCACTAGTACTGTGGATCGGAAGAGAGAATAAGATTTTGTGCTTCTATTCGTATCATTATTTTCTCTCTTTTTCGTTACTAGTTTTATAATGAACTTTTGATTTTATTATGAACTAAACTCCAATTTATGGAGGAAACACTATAGGAGCAAACTTTTTCTAGACTTGATGGATTGATTCATATTTCTTTTCTTCCGATCTTTAATGCATGAAATTGCTTAATGCTTTGTGTTGACTGGCCACCAATACAACGATTCGTAGTTAATTAGGTTATTAGCGATGGGGAAACCCTAACAACTGAACTTATTTCATGTGACATAGTAACTTATCGAAGCGACAGTGAATTAAATAAGATGCTATGCGGTCTTAAATAGGATATCGATCTTTAGACTAAATTATTAAGTCATTGAGCTACGACAGTAGGATTTAATTTAATTGTTTAGTACATAGTAATTCCTGATAGGGATAGCTAGCACAATAGTGATATCCTGGTTGTAGAGATATGGATTAAACTGATCGGAATATGTTAATTAATTCGGATATGATAGGTAGTGAGTCCTTGTGTTTCTTCAGGAGCTTTCTCCATTGTTTCTCCCAACAACTTTACTTTGCTTAATTGGTTTATTTTGTTTTGCTTTTAGTTGATAGTTTATCTCTCAAACCATTTTCATTTGTAGTTTGCTATATAAAATTGAGAGAATATAAGGTTGTACCAATCCTTGAGAGATGGTACCCGAACTTCCAGTTTACTACACGATAGGAATTGAAGGATTACGCTTTTGTCCTATCAAGTTTTTGACACCGTTGCCGAGGACTACCATACCCTATTTTTATTGATTTTAGTAGGTGAACTTTTCTTGTTTTTGAACTCAATGTAACAATTTACCAAATGCAACAAATGGACCAAATGAGTACTAACGGACAAACACCAAAACCCAAATTATTATGCACCAAAAGAGAACTCCATAACAATTCTCAGAAGGCGCATTGGGCAGCAAGCATGGATGCGGGAAGTTCTCCATAAGCGGGACTTCTACTCTGTAATAGTCTATCACATGGTAGAATGAACTAATCCCAGCAAAGATGACCGAAAATTGCTGGGAAGGCCTCACAAATGGCGGAATGGAAGTAGAATAAATTAACCAAACTCTAATAATTATTAGTCGTGACGTGACTCCTCAAACAATAGAACACTATACCATCTAAACACCACACTTTGCGGCCTTCAACAACCCCACAAACCATCTAAACTCAGCATAGACAAACTAAAAAGCTAGCGCAATCATCAATAATCCAAAATTCACAAACAGTATCCAACCAAGCAAAGAAAGCAAAAGCCACAAAACAAAACAATCCATCACTTGTAAAGAGCTGGGAGAAGTTAATAACTTAATAGGCAAGATAACAGGCTCCTGAAGCGCTTGTTTGGCGCTCTCAGGCCCATCCACATCACTCCACGTAATATTAGGCTTCTCCCTAACCTAATGATGTCTGAATTGAACCCAGCTCTGAATTTCGACTGGTGAGGATCGTCACCATCTTCCCCATCAATTTTGGCTGCGTAGCGACGATGACATCAACCTTGACGGCCGGACCAGGCCTGCCCTCATCCAACACCGTTTGGATCTCCTAGGCACAACAGAGGTACTCGGTGATGGCGGAAGTTTGCCCCTGAAGCTGAATCGTGTATTTCCCGGTGTATAGCTCATGGAATTGTAGGAACGCCTGAGCTCTAGTTTAGAGAGTCGATAGTAGGGTTATCCCACCAAATACCTTGATGATCCACCCAAAATTCCTAAGGCAAATACGCTGTTCGAAAACAAAACGTATAAGGAAATGACACTGAAAACAGAGAGCTTGTGAATTTTACCTGTACTCTTCGTATCCGTCGAATCTCGTCCCGTAGTCGTGGTTGTTATTGGTCATGACTATCAAAGCAACCAGGGAGAAAGGAAACCTAACCCTCTACATATTACCGAAGCTTTATTCAACC